GAATTAAGCGTCACTTCTGGTAAATTATATTTATTTTCTCCCAGGAATAGATCTCTCATCTGTAAGATGTCGTGCTTGCCCTGTTCATCTGTTAGGTTGCAATAAGGTGCAAATGAATGCATGAAGTGTATGTGAAAGTGTTTTGAATGATGCAAAATACTGTATGTAGTACTATTCTTATTGTACTTTGGTTTTCTTTACATTTTGGTCAATGTTTTAATATTAATATATGCTATATTATGCAACTAGGACATAGATCCCTTGTAATGTGAAGGAAAATATTTTGACTTTGTGGATATCATAGACTAATTCATGAGCTGAATGATTTTTTTATTAAATATATTTCATTACCACCAAAAATGTCTTGTTTATCCAGTGTTTTTAACCCAGATGGCTAATAACACATGAAATAAATCTTCTACACACCTGCCATGTAACAGTTTCCTCATGCTATAGCATAATATCCAAAGTAATACCAAAACATGTTTCTTTTTTTTTATTTTTATAAATTAATTTTTATTGGTGTTCAATTTACCAACATACAGAATAACACCCAGTGCTCATCCCGTCAAGTGTACCCCCCAGTGCCCGTCACCCATTCACCCCCACCCCCCACCCTCCTCCCCCTCCACCACCCCTAGTTCATTTCCCAGAGTTAGAAGTCTTTATGTTCTGTCTCCCTTTCTGATATTTCTCACACATTTCTTCTCCCTTCCCTTATATTCCCTTTCGCTATTATTCATATTCCCCAAATGAATGAGAACATACACCGTTTGTCCTTCTCCGGTTACTGTGGCCAAGTTCAAAAAGGGTGTTGCCTGAGTTCTCCTCTGGGATTTTGATGGAATCTTGTCTCACATTTAGATCTTTCATCTATTTTGAGTTTATCTTTGTGTATGGTGCAAGAGAGTGGTCCAGTTTCATTCTTCTGCATGTGGATGTCCAATTTTCCCAGCACCATTTATTGAAGAGACTGTCTTTCTTCTAGTGGATCGTCTTTCCTCCTTTATCGCATATTAGTTGAGCATAAAGTTCAGGGTCCACTTCTGGGTTCTCTGTTCTGTTCCATTGATCTATATGTCTGTTTTTGTGCCAGTACCACACTGCCTTGATGAACACAGCTTTGTAGTACAACCTGAAATCTGGCATTGCGATGCCCCCAGATATGGTTTTCTTTTTTTAAAATTCCCCTGGCTGTTTGGGGTCTTTTCTGATTCCACACAAATCTTAAAATAATTTGTTCTAAGTCTCTGAAGAAAGTCCATGGTATTTTGATAGGGATTGCATTATACGTGTAAATTGCCCTGGGTAACATTGACATTTTCACAATATTAATTCTGCCAATCCATGAGCATGGAATATTTTTCCATCTCTTTGTGTCTTCCTCAATTTCTTTCAGAAGTGTTCTGTAGTTTTTAGGGTATATTTTGAGAACCATTTGAATGGTAAATGGTTCTCCAACCTTTTATTTTCAGGTTGTAGGTGTCCTTCTGTCTAAAATGAGTCTCTTGTAGACAGCAAATAGATGGGTCCTGTTTTTTTATCCAGTCTGAAACTCTGCGCCTTTTGATGGGGTCATTAAGCCCATTCACGTTCAGAGTTACTTGAACTTCTTCTTAAAGGGGAGTTTTAAGAGTCCCCCTTAAAATTTCTTGCAGAGCTGGTTTGGAGGTCACATATTCTTTCAGTTCCTGCCTGTCTTGGAAGCTCTTTATCTCTCCTTCCATTTTGAATGAGAGCCTTGCTGGATAAAGTATTCTTGGTTGCATGTTCTTCTCATTTAGGACCCTGAATATATCCTGCCAGCCCTTTCTGGCCTGCCACGTCTCTGTGGAGAGGTCTGCTGTTACCCTAATATTCCTCCCCATGAAAGTCAGGGACTTCTTGTCTCTTGCTGCTTTAAGGATCTTCTCTTTATCTTTGGAATTTGCAAGCTTCACTATTAGATGTCGAGGTGTTGAACGGTTTTTATTGATTTTAGGGGGGGATCTCTCTATTTCCTGGATCTGAATGCCTGTTTCCCTTCCCAGATTGGGAAAGTTTTCAGCTAGGATTTGTTCAAATACATATTCTGGCCCTCTGTCCCTTTCGGCGCCCTCGGGAACCCCAATTAAACGTAGGTTTTTCTGCCTCAGGCTGTCGTTTATTTGCCTTAATCTGTCTTCATGGTCCTTCAATTGTTTATCTCTTTTTTCCTCAGTTTCCCTCTTTGCCATTAACTTGTCTTCTATGTCACTCACTCGTTCTTCCACCTCGTTAACCCTCGTCGTTAGGACTTCTAGTTTGGATTGCATCTCATTCAATTGATTTTTAATTTCTGCCTGATTGGATCTAAATTCTGCAGTCATGAAGTCTCGTGAGGCCTTAATGCTTTTTTCTAGAGCCACCAGTAGCTGTAGAATAGTGCTTCTGAATTGGCTTTCTGACATTGAAGTGTAATCCAGATTTTGTAACTCTGTGGGAGAGAGGGCTGTTTCTGATTCTTTCTTTTGAGTTGAGGTTTTCCTTCTAGTCATTTTGCTCAGTGCAGAGTGGCCAGAAACAAGTTGTATTGGAACACGGGGGAGTATCACTGGCCCCTCTAGCTGGTCTTCTGGGGGAGGGGCCTGTTGCGTTGATTTTCAGGTGTTAGCACTTGGGGGAGCTGCTCTGCCCCTGCCTGCTGCAGGGCTCTGCGGGGGTTGTTTACCCCGCCAGGCCCCAGGAGGAACAGCAGCAGTTGCTATGGCAACTCTGGAAGCCTGGATTCAGCCTCCGCAGGAACTATGGGGCTCGGGGCTCTCGGCTCTCCGTCCGCAGGGCCTGGAGGCTCCGGGGCGGGGCCGCTGATCTGCTCAGCTCGGGGCAGGAGCGTCCTCGCTGTCTCGGGCCCTCCCGGCCTCTGCCTGTCCCGGGGGAGGCCGGATCCTGGGCTGTGTCCCGGCGCCCTGTGCTCCGGGGCCTGCGCTGTTGGATTCGCGCTCCCGCCCTGCAGCTCCCTCCCTGGAGCCGCTCCCGAGCCCCTCCGAGCTGCTCCGGTCGGTCCCTCCGTGCGCGCTGCAGCCCTTAGGGAGCTCGGAGCACTCTCCTGCGCTCGCAGGTGTCTGTTAGTGTCCCCGGGAGCCTGAGGGCATCCCCGCTCTCCTGGGTCCTGCTCCAACTCCCTGCGAGCCCCTTTCCGCCCGCCCGGGAAGGTTGGTGCAGCTCCTGCTCCTCCGGGACGGGGCTCTCCTGTCCTGGGGACACTCGCCCCGGCCTCAGCCCGGCTCCTCGCGGGGCCCCTCCCCCTCGGAGGCCTTTTGTTCCTTTATTTCTTTTTCCCCGTCTTCCTACCTTGATAGAAGCGTGAACTCTTCTCACTGTAGCATTCCAGCTGGTCTCTCTTTAAATCTCAGGCCGAATTCGTAGATTTTCAGGATGATTTGAAGGTTATCTAGGTAATTTGGTGGGGACAGGTGATTTGGGGACCCTGCTCTTCCGCCATCTTGCCCCTCCCTCCCAAAACATGTTTCTAATAACTTCAAAGCTATCCAAAAATGCCATTCTTGCTGGTAACATTTTATTATTTGTAATTTTGGGGTTTGCCTATATTAAGTAGGAATTAAATGAGTTTAATAGAAAGGAATGCCTTTCCATACATGAAAAATACACTTTGAAGCTCACATATGCTCTCAGGAGTTAATGTTTTTAATATTTACAAGAGCAAATAATTCTGGAAACGACAAATTGTATGTATACTATCAGTTGGGCACTCAGCCACCATTTGGAAAATGTCTTCTGATTTCTATCATCCTATAATTTACTCCAGTAAAATTAAAGCATAATTTGTAACTTTGAGAGGGAAAAATGCTAATAGAGACCAAGTAACAAAAGTGTAATTTAGCAAAACTATTAATTTTAGTTTTTTAAACTATTATGAGCCTATTATTTAAAAATTACTTCAGTATTTAAAAGGCTATAAGAAAGGGAGACAGAACATAAAGACTCCTAACTCTGGGAAACAAACTAGGGGTGGTGGAAGGGGAGGAGGGCAGGGGGTGGGGATGAGTGGGTGACGGGCACTGAGGGGGACAGTTGACGGGATGAGCACTGGGTGTATTCTGTATGTTGGTAAATTGAACACCAATAAAAAATTAATTTATTAAAAAAATAAAAGGCTATAAAATTGTGCTGGGTGTCTTCAAATACATTTTAATTCTCATTTTCCATTGCTTAAAATGTGATAAAAATTTATAAATTAAAAACCAAAATTAATTTAATTAGCTCCAATCGAATGTTTTTACCTTTCTGTATACATTTTTAAAGTGCATTGTAAAATCTTCAGAGCTAGTGACAGTGGCTAATGTGTCCACCTCCTCCCCAAAATTTAATGCAGTGTGAGGGAAAATAATGCTGATGTGTGAAGTACCCTTTATTTTCAGTTTTTTAAACCAATATGCTTACTAAGTTAATACAACTTTGATTCCTGCATCGATGATATCTGAATCAAATCTGATTAGCATCATATCCTAACCAATACAGAAACTGTGATTTTGCAATATTTCTTTTGTCCCACAGGCTCCCAAAAAAGTAAGTGATAGTAAATGACTGAGGAATTTGCCAATTTTTAAAGGCATCTTTTCCATATGTTTAGGATGCCTTTATTCATTTTGACAATAGAAGTTTTACAGAATCCTGTAAATCAGGAATTTGCAATCACTCATGTGGTACATAATGCCAAACTCCAGTAGGGGAGTATGGGGTGATGGAAGCCCACAACAAAGAGACTCCTATGTTTTATACAAGTAAGCCATTCAATAGAGGCAGGTAATTGTGGGGGAGAGGGAACTCATTAATAGATTGAAAGAAAATTGTTGCCTGCTCAGGAGTCAGAGTAGGCAGTTCTTTTTAACTTCCAAAGATATATAGTCATTCTTAGTTATTTTAGGCTGCTTTAAAATACAATAGACTGGGTGGCTTAAACAACACACAGTTACTTCTTACAGTTTTGGATGCTGGGAAGTCCAAGATCAAGGTGTCAGCAGATCAAGTTCCTGGTGAGGGCTCTGTTCCTGACTTGTACACAGCTGCCTTTTCATTGTATCCTCAAATGGACAAGGGAGATGAGACAGACAGAGAGAGAGACAGAGGCAGAGAGAAAGACAGACAGACAAGCAGAGAGAGAGAGAGAGAGAGAGAGAGAGATCTCTTTTCCCCTTTTTCAAGGATACCAGTTCCTTCATGGGGTCCACTTACACGACCTAATTACCAAAAGAAAGCTGCATCTCCAAATACCAATACTTTGGGGCTCTGGGGATTTGAGATGGACACATTCAGTTCACAGCAGTCATGTAGCAGAAACAGCTTCTCAAGTGTCTATGTTTTCCTCTGTGAAATTTCTGTTCATGTCTTTTGCCCATTTCATGCGTGGATTGTTTCTTTGCTGTTGAGTTTAATAAGTTCTTTAGAGATCTTGGATACTAGCCCTTTACCTGGTAGGTCATTTGCAAATATCTTCTACCATTTTCTGAGTTGTCTTTTAGTTTTGGACTGTTTCTTTTTCTGTGCAGAAGCTTCTTATCTTGATGAAGTCCCAATAGTTCATTTTTACTTTTGTTTCTCTTGCCTTCATGGATGTATCTTGCAAGAAGTTGCTGTGGCCAAGTTAAAACAGGGTGTTGCCTGTGTCCTCCTCTAGGATTTTGATGGAATCTTGTCTCACATTTACATCTTTCATCCATTTATCTTTGTGTATGGCGTAAGAGAATGGTCTAGTTACATTCTTCTGCATGTGGATGTCCAATTTTCCCAGCACCATTTATTGAAGAGACTGTCTTTCTTCAGTGGATAGTCTTTCCTGCTTTGTAGAATATTAGTTGACCATAAGGTTGAGGGTCCACTTCTGGATTCTCTATTCTGTTCCATTGATCTATGTGTCTGTTTTTGTGCCAGTACCACACTGTCTTGATGACCACAGCTTTGTAGTACAACCTGAAATCTGGCATTGTGATGCCCCCAGCTATGGTTTTAATTTTAAAAATTCCCCTGGCTATTCGGGGTCTTTTCTGATTCCACACAAATCTTAAAATAATTTGTTCTAAGTCTCTGAAGAAAGTCCATGGTATTTTGATAGGGATTGCATTAAACGTGTAAATTGCCCTGGGTAACATTGACATTTTCACAATATTAATTCTGCCAATCCATGAGCATGGAATACTTTTCCAAATTCTTGTGTATTCCTCAATTTCTTTCAGAAGTGCTCTGTAGTGTGTAGGAAATAGATCCTTTACCTCTTTGGTTAGGTTTATTCCTAGGTATCTTATGCTTTTGCGTGCAATTGTAAATGGGATTGACTCCTTAATTTCTCTTTCTTGCTTGATTCTAGGGTATAGAAATGCCAATGACTTCTGGACATTGATTTTGTATCCTGCCACACTTCCGAATTGCTGTATGAGTTCTAGCAATCTTGGGGTGGAGTCTTTTGGGTTTCCTATGTACAGTATCATGTCATCTGCAAAGAGGGAGAGTTTGACTTCTTTGCCAATTTGAATGCCTTTTATTTCTTTTGTTGTCTGATTGCTGAGGCTAGGACTTCCAGTACTTTAATTTTTTTTATTTATGATAGTCACAGAGAGAGAGAGAGAGAGGCAGAGACATAGGCAGAGGGAGAAGCAGGCTCCATGCACCGGGAGCCCAATGTGGGATTCGATCCCGGGTCTCCAGGATCGCGCCCTGGGCCAAAGGCAGGCGCCAAACCGCTGCGCCACCCAGGGATCCCAGGACTTCCAGTACTATGTTAAATAGCAGTGGTGAGAGTGGACATCCCTGTCTTGTTCCTGATCTTAGGGGAAAGGCTCCCAGTGCTTCCCATTGTGAATGATATTTGCTGTGGGCTTTTCGTAGATGGCTTTTAAGATGTCGAGGAATGTTCCCTCTATCCCTACACTCTGAAGTGTTTTGATCAGCAGTGGATGCTCTATTTTGTCAAATGCTTTCTCTGCATCTAATGAGAAGATCCTATGGTTCTTGGTTTTTCTCTTGCTGATATGATCAATCACATTGATTGCTTTACGAGTGTTGAAACAGCCTTGCATCCCGGGGATAAATCCCACTTGGTCATGGTGCCTAATTTTCTTAATCTATTGTTGGATCCTATTGGCTAGTATCATGTTGAGAATTTTTGCATCTGTCATCATCAGAGATATTGTTCTATAATTCTCCTTTTTGGTGGGGTCTTTGTCTGGTTTTGGAATAAGGTGATGCTGGCCTCATAGAATGAGTTTGGAAGTACTCCATCTCTTTCTATCTTTCTGACCAGCTTTAGTAGAATAGGTATGGTTTCTTCTTTAAACTTTTGATAGAATTCCCTAGGAAGCCATCTGGCCCTGGGCCAGATGTGTCTTGGATGACTGCTTCAATTTCCTCCCTGGTTATTGGCCTGTTCAGGTTTTCTATTTCTTCCTGTTCCAGTTTTGGTAGTTTGTGGTTTTCCAGAAATCCATCCATTTCTCCTAGATTGCCTAATTTATTGGCGTAGAGCTGCTCATAAGTTTTAAAATCATTTGTATTTCCTCGGTATTGGTGGTGATCTCTCCTTTCTCATTCATGATCTTATTAATTTGAGTCTTTTCTCTCTTCTTTTTAATAAGGCTGCCTAATGGTTTACCTATCTTATTAATTCTTTCAAAGAACCAACTCCTGGTTTTGTTAATCTGTTCCACAGTTCTTCTGGTCTCTATTTCATTGAGTTTTGCTGGGACCTTTATTAATTCTCTTCTTCTGCTGGGTGTAGGATCTATTTGCTGTTTTTTTCTCCAGCTCCTTTAGGTGCAAGGTTAGGTCTTGTATTTGAGTTCTTTCCAGTTTTTGGATGGATGCTTGTATTACGATGTATTTCCCCCTCAGGACTGCTTTTGCTGTATCCCAAAGATTTTGAACGGTTCTATCTTCATTCTTATTAGTTTCCATGAATCTTTTTAATTCTTCCTTAATTTCCTGGTTGACCCTTTCATCTTTTAGCAGGATGGTCCTTAACCTCCACGTGTGTGAAGTCCTTCCAAACTTTTTCTTGTGATTTAGTTCTAGTTTCAAAGCATTATGGTCTGAGAATATGCAAGGGACGATCCCAATCTTTTGGTATTGGTTAAGACCTGTTTTTTGACCCAGTATGTGGTCTATTCTGGAGAAATTCCATGTGCACTTGAGAAGAATGTGTATTCAGTTGCGTTTGGATGTACGTTTCTGTAAATATTTGTGAAATCCATCTGGTCCAGTGAATCATTTAAAGCTCTTGTTTCTTTGGAGATGTTGTGCTTAGAAGATCTGTCGATTATAGAAAGTACTGTGTTCAAGTCACCAAATATGTGTATTATTATCTAAGTATGTCTTAACTTTGGTTATTAATTGATTAGTATGCTTGGCAGCTCCCACATTCGGGGCATAAATATTCATGATTGTTAGGTCCACTTGTTGGATAGATCCTTTACGGATGATAGAGTGTCCCTCTTCATCTCTTAGTACAGTCTTCGGGATAAACTTTAGTTTATCTGTTATATGAATGGCTACCCCTGCTTTCTTTTGAGGACCTATTGAATGGTACATGGTTCTCCAACCTTTTATTTTCAGGCTGTAGGTGTCCTTAGGTCTAAAATGAGTCTCTTGTCGACAGCAAGTAGATGAGTCTTGCTTTTTTATCCAGTGTGAAATTCTGCGCCTTTTGATGGGGCCATTAAGCCCATTCACGTTCAGAGTTGCTATTGAAAGATAGGAATTTAGTGTCATCATGATACCTATTCAGTCCCTGTTTTTGTGGATTATTTCTTTGGGCTTCCTCTTTCTTTTACAGGGTATCCCTTAATATTTCTTGCAGATCTGGTTTGGTGGTCACATATTCTTTCAATTTCTGCCTATCTTGGAAGCTCTTTATCTCTCCTTCTATTCTGAACGAGAGCCTTGCTGGATAAAGTATTCTTGGCTGCGTGTTCTTCTCATTTAGGACCCTGAATATATCCTGCCAGCCCTTTCTGGCCTGCCAGGTCTCTGTGGAGAGGTATGCCATTACAGTAATGCTTCTCCACATAAAGGTTAGGGAACTCTTGTTTCTTGTTGCTTTAAGGGTCTTTTCTTTATCTTTGGAATTTGCAAGTTTCATTATTAAATGTCTAGGTGTTGAGCGGGGTTTTTAAATTGATTTTAGGGGGGATCTCTCTATTTCCTGGATCTGAATACCTGTTTCCCTTCCCAAGTTAGGGAAGTTCTCAGCTATGATTGTTCCTCTGTTAGTGCCCCTGGCAGCCTGAGGGCATCCCTGCCCCTCCTGGGATCCTGCCAGTACTCCCTAAGAGCACCATTCCATCCGGAAAGATTGGAAAAGTTTCTGCTTCTCTGGGACTGGGCTTTCCTGTCCTGGGGGCTCTCACCACCAGGTCTTAGACTGACTCCTCGCGGGGCCTCTCCCCCTTGGATGCTTTTTTATTTCTTTATTTTTTTCCATCTTCCTATCTTGATAGAATTGCAAACTCTTCTCACTGTAGCATTCTAGCTATTTAAAGAATAAATCTCTTTAAATTTCGGGTCGACTTCGTAGGTTTTCATGACGATTTGAAAGTTATCTAGGTAAGTTGGTGGGGATAGGTGACTTGGGGACCCTACTTTCTCACCATCTTGCTCCACCTCTCCTTGCTTCATGTTTTTACCATTCAACATGTTGACTATATCATGCCACTCACTTCTTGCCTGCCAGATTTTTGTGTCAGATCTGCTGTGTACCTGATCTGTGTTCTGTTGTAGGTTAAGGACTTTTTTTCATTTGCTGCTTTCAAGATTTTTTCCTTCTCTATTTTGTGAATTTGACTATGATATGTCTTTGGCAATGGTCGGCTTTTGTTGAATTTAATGGGAGTTCTTTGTGCTTCTTGGGTTTTGATGTCTCTTCCCTTCCTCAGATTAGGAAAGATTTCAGCTATAATTTGTCTGAATTGAACTTCTGCCTTCTTTCCTCTCTTCATTTTCTGGGACTCCTATGGTACAAATGTTTTCACATTTTAATAAGTTGCTGAGGTCCCTAAA